CCTGCACGTTGCGTACGCGGCCGGTGAGCAGACCTAACAACCTCCATTACAAAGGAAGTCGCGTTACGCAGTCCAACCCGGCGCGCGCCGCTCAGTCGCTGACGTCACAAAGGCTTCGGCTGATACCACGACGTCGAGTGCCCATATCTTTCCCGCGTAGTTGGTTAGTGCGTATAGACCAGTGGCCAGACTCAGATCAAATACCAAGATCTCGTTAAGCGTGTTATTATGAAGCAACCGCGAACGTCGACCAGGGCCAGGCCCACCTCTCGCCTAGGTGGTCTCAACCTGCCCTATCGCTTCGCCACAAAGATCCACACAGAGGGCCGTCGGGACAAAGGTCCTTTCAGCCCCCAATCCGTGAATCACTCGCGGGTACTCCTCGAGCCAACCCGACTTTAGTCCCCATCTGTAGTATGTATATATGTATAGTATATACCCGTGATCACCTCCCGAGTGATCACGGCCCAATAGTATAGCAAGGCTGACTAACAAGAATGTAGGGCCAACGATGATAAACTAGCATCCTATACTAAGCATTTAGGATTGCGGGTATGGTATCAATGACTATAGCAACAATGACATGCTATGCAACAGAATAGGAGTAACCGAACAGTAACATAGTACACTACTCTAATGCAAGCAATATAGAGAAGAATAGGCGATATCTGGTGATCAAGGGGGGGTGGCTTGCCTGGTTGCTCTGGCAAGAAGAAGGGGTCGTCAACTCCGTAGTCGAACTAGGGGTCGCCGGCAGTCTCGGGGTCTACCGGAAAGAAGTAATGGAGGGGGAACACAATAAACAATAGAGCAATCAAATCATCACAAAGCAAGACGCGACAATATGCGGTGCTAGGGATGACCTAACATAGTGGTAGGTGATACCGGCGAGGGGGGCAAACATCCGGGAAAGTATTCCCGGTGTTTCGCGTTTTCGGACAGATGAACCGGAGGTGAAATGTTGCAGGTTTGCTATGCTAGGGATGTGTGGCGGGCGAACGGACTGCATATCCGGATTCGTCTCGTCGTTCTGAGCAACTTTCATGTACAAAGTTTTTCCATCCGAGCTACGGTTTATTTTATATTGATTTTAAAAGATTTAAATCACTTTTAGCATTTGTTTAATTATTTTAATCCAACACTATCCAGAACAGTGCCCGCTGATGTCAGCATGACGTCAGCAGTCAACAAAGGCGTTGACTGGTCAACTGACGTGTGAGTCCCGTTCATCATTGACTAGACTAACTAATCATGATTAATTAGTTAACTAAGTGATTAGGTTAATTAAATACAATTAATTAAGTTAATTGATCCTTTAATTAATTAATTAACATGTTTTATTTTTATTTTTATTTCTTAGTATTCCTTTTTTTTGTTCTAAAGGGCGGGGGCCCTGTTGTCCAGTGGCCCAGGGCCTTAGCGGGTGCTGGTTAGCGGGCGCGGGTGCTGGAGCGTAACGGTGTGGGCGCACGCCCGATAGGGCGAACCCGAGTGCGCGGGTGACGACCGCCGTGGCGCGGCGGGGCGCCGGAGTTGGCTGCGGGGCCAACGACGGTCGGCGCGAGCTGGGACGGCGACCGCGGGGATGGCAGCGAGCGGGCATGGTGGAGCCAAAGCGGGGGTTGCGGGATGAGGCCGGAGCTCGACCGGAGCGAGCTCATGGCGACGGGAGTGAGCAGAGGCGGCAGCGGGGCGGGCTACGGTCATGCACGCGCGAGTGAACGGCGCCGGTGACAGAGAATAAGGGGAGAGAGGGAGGGAGGCCGGAGCTCACAGCGGGGCGTAGGGCACGAGGCAGTGGTGCTCAAGGTGGGGGACGGGGACGACGCACGTGGAGGAGGCAGTCCGGCGAGGTGGCTAAGGTGGAGAGGCGTAGCTCCGGGCGGCGACGCGTCGTGGGGAGGAGACGAGGTCGAGGTGGCGTTGGGCGACGGCGGAGCGGTGGCGGCCCGGTGACGAGAGGGCAACGGAGAGGAGAAGAGGATGCGGCGGTCCGGTGGGGAGGCGGCGCTGGCAAGGTGGCTTCGGGCGGCGGCGTCGGGGTCGGGGCGGTTGCCCCGATCTGGATCGTGGGGGAGTGGGGGAACGAGGGGGGGGGAGCAGGGAGCGACTCGTCTAGGGTTTGGGTGTCAGGGGGTTAGTAGGCGCGGCTGGGCCGGCCGGCTGGGCCAGGTGGGCCGGCCTGATGTGAGCTGGGCCGCCTGGTCCAGTGAGGGAGGGGGTTTCCCTTTTTTGTAAGTTTTGTTTCCTGTTTTATTCTTTTTCTTTTTCTTTATTTTCTTTTCTGTTTTCGCTAATTGTTTGGGCACCAAATGAGTTTGGTAAAATATGAGAGTTGGACCATAAATCATAGCACAATATATCCTACCACCAAAAACTTGTTTGGGGTAATATCATTTCATATTTATTTTGTATTAATAAAAAGGTTAATAAATAATGTTTTCAGCCACTGTTTGAGGTTATTTAAGTCACTTATCAAATTTCAATAATGTTGTTTACAACTTTATCATAGCCTCCGATTTATCTACTATTTATTGAACATTTTAGTTTCAATATTTAAAAACTTTTATTGTTTGCTTGATTTTGAATTTTGAATTTGGATCGGTTTCAAACTAACGCGAGATTAGCAACAGTAACCAAGGTGACGTGGCATCATTGACGTGGGATTGCTGTAGCTTAATTATCCGGGCGTCACAGCCTTTCTCTAAGATCATTCTCTTCTGAAAAAGGTCGATGGTCCTCCTGGGCTAAGTCAAGGTGGAGGATAACCAAAAGGGTGGCATGGAGGTAGATCTTTTCTTTGGAGAAGAGCCCTCTACTGCACTCGGATAAGCGAAGCCCGGTCTTTTTAAGCTTGTGGTGCAATATTTGGTAGGGTTCGGTGTGGCCGGTGTGCTCATTCCCAGCTTGTCGCACTGCAACACTGCAAACCGAGAGAGAGGTCCAAAAGTTATCAAACTTGAACCCTCGCGACCTTCGAGGCCAACTATTTTTTCCAGGGGCATGCAAATTGCGTGCCATGGCTTTATAGGAGGCACAGGGTAAAAATACAAGAACTTAGGCAAGCTTCCACCACAGATCGGTAGAAGCAAACACCACACCGACTCGAACGCACAAATACAACTTTAATGCAAAAGGGTCTGCCTCGAACTGACCAACAGAGTCTGCATCTCAACCAACATCGAACACCTCCAAAGAACAACAAATCCAAATGAACTCTACTTGATGAAGCACCAACCACCCTTGATTGCCTAAAAGAGGTGGTAGGTGGATGGCCGGACTCGAACAACCAAGAGAAAGCCATCGTCCATGAGTCACCCGCAGCGGCGTACATATCACCCCTGATGACCAAATTCAGAACACCGACGAGCACCATAGGAACGCAAACTAGGACCTCCAAGCCGTGTATCCAGACAATACTCCCAACAGAGGAACGATGTCGAGGACGCCGCCATCACCGACCCGGAACCAGACCTAGGCTTTCGCTCGAAGACAACCGTTCAACTGAGAGAGGGCGAGGTACCGAACACCACAACTATGCCTCCAAGGAGGTAAACGACACCCACGGGTGTCAACATCGCTGGCATCGATCAAAGATGAGCAAGACTTTCATTTGAATTGTCGCACACCTGCAGCTCATCCTAGCAGAATGGGGCACACCGTCCTCGCTTGTTCACACCGCCGCCACCGTGGCACCTCGCAGAAGAAGCCACATCACCTCACCCAACCAGCACCACCGTCAGAGATGACCAACACCACCACACCAAGCCACCACCAGCACCATCACGCCTGCCGGCAGTCACGACCGAAACCCTACCGACCAGACCCAGATCGGACTGGACTGGGATAGGTACCCCAGGCCGCACCCACGATTAAGCATGCCCCACCACTATCGCCAACACGCCGAGCCGCCACTGAAGATTTGCCGCACCAAGCCACCAAGAGCACCGTCGTTGGAGCTCCACGCCATCGCCGGGGAGGAGGGGTCACGTCTGAGAGAGTCCCCGCCGCCACTGGCACTGCCCGGGCTTCATCTGGCAGCGGCGAGGGGGAGGAGAAGGAGGAAAGGGTCCCCCCCCCCTCTCGTGTGTCGCCTCGAAGAGGGATGCGAAGGTCGAGCAACTTTTCGCTGGTTCTCTCGCACCTCGAGGCCCACTGTCACAGGCGAGGAGAAGGGAGCAATGGCTGGAGAGCGAGGGCGAAAGAGCATGGAGGGCATGAGGGTTAAAGTGGGTGTCCAACTCACCGTTGTAGAAGCAGGAGTCAAGCTTGCAAATTGTCGGGTCGCTGATCCAAGTGAAGTCCTAATGTCTACTCCCTTCATCCCATAATATAAGAGCGTTTTTGACGCTAGATCCAAACAGGGTGTAAGGAAATAAGTTTTGTACTTCCTCCGTCCCGAACTAGTTGTCTTAGATTTGTCTAGATAAATCTAAGACAACTAGTTTGAGACTGAGGTAATACAATCTATCTGGAGTGACCATGCTGATAATGCATTTAACGGATTTACGATACATCACATTAATCTGCCCATAAGAAAAAGCCCGATTCCATACAACAGGTAGAAATACTACGTAGCTGATACTTGTCGTAGCGACATGGGTTTGTTAAGCTATGTGGTGCCCTGTGGTACAGTGAGCAATACATTTCTGAAAAAGGATCGGAGCATATCCTATCAGGTCACTGAATCGTTTGGTCTGTTGCTTTACATAATGAATCAATGGGGTCTGTCCGAACCCGTCTCCTATGGATAGTGAACCGGTCAAGATTTGGCATAACAGCACTAAAGAAGAGGTCAAGATTTGGCGTCAAAAATAATACAGTGGCCATGCTGGAACTGAAGACTTCTGAGCTCGGAGAGAAGCTTTGGTTGTCCAAACTCTGACCATCCTCTGCAGACCAATCTGCAAACCCCAGTATCAGCAGCACTGAGGTGCATTGTGGTTGGCCCCGTCGTGCGCTCTAGCACATGAGTCCTCTGCTTGCCCTTGCAGATCAGGCTATGTAGATCGAAAGCCAGGAACTTTGCCAAGACCCATCTTACGAAGAATGAGCTTGGGTATGGCTGGTGGGGCTGCAAGCCCCATGCTCCGGCTGAACTCTTCGCCGAGAGTAACAAGTCTCGACTTGTTACCACCAATGGTCTTGTTCGAGTTGTAGTACCCTAACCATGCTTGATATGCTGATTCCTTGCTCTTCATCTCTACTCTTCTGAGTGCACCTTTCACCTGTCATAAGAAAACTGACGGTTTAATGCACAGCTAATACTAGTCTAGCGCTGCTAAATTTGCACCAGGCTGATCAAACTACAGAACGAACTACACAACCAATAAACCTCCCCGCAAAAAGGACTATTTAAGCTGAATACTGCTTACTTCTGTCTGAGTGCTTGAATCAACTGAAGGTGTCACAGCCTCTGATACTGACAGATCTTTCACGCTGGTAAGAAAATGACTTTCCCAGGGAGCCAACAGTAAGAGGCCCAGCCCTTCCTTGCCTTTCCGTCCTGTTCTACCAATTCTATGTATATACTGCTCTCTACCAGCAGGAATCCCAACCTTGTAAATGCAAATAGATTTTATGAGGAATGTACATGAGATCTTGGTAAAATTAAATCTGTGAAAAACTGAACCTACCTGTATGACGAGGGTGACATCAGGATAATCAACACCACGAGCAGACACATCAGAACTAACTAATATCACGCCCTTTGACCTTCTGAATTCATCCGAGACCTTAGTTCTTGCAGATTGTGACTTTCTGGAATGAATCTCTCTTATATTCAGTTTCAGCTGGGAGAGAACTTCAGCAACAAGTTTCGTGACCATTGCAGTAGTACAGAATATAATCACCTACAAAATTGTATGGGTAATGAGTTAAGGAGACACAATAAATCTTAAATATGCATGATTGAAACTACCTGCTAAGATAACTTACTTTGTAGTCCGCATCATCTGCGACATGCTTCTTCAGTACATCATATAATATAGAGAAGTGCAGATCAAGTGGTGCGATCATACACATCTGGCTAACCTGATGCAGCAGCACGAATGTAAGGTACTTTCTTGCTTTAAACATTTACCGTACAGCTCATAAAAAATGATGGTCTAAACCTGTGAATGTGTCTCCTCGTCACCCTCTTTAACTGTGTTAATGAACCTATAGTCCTTCCTCATTGCTACGTGAGAAATTTGACGGACCTAATAACAAACATTCAACAAAATTACACTGTAAATAGGCATTAAAAGTGCATAATGACAGACGCAGTTACCTCTTCTGGAACAGTAGCAGAAAATAGCAGTGTCTGACGGTCTTTAGGAGTGGCAGCCATAATTTTTTCAATATCTCTTCTGAATCCCATATCGAGTAGGCGGTCAGCTTCATCAAGAACAAGAACCTTCACCCCTTTGAGCCGAGTAGAAAAACCAGGTGTATTCTCAAGATGATCCTTAAGCCTTCCAGGTGTAGCAACAAGAATCTGTTTGGCCAAAACAAAGTATTAGTGCATAAACCACACCTAGATATGTGCAAACTTGAGCTGACAAGTAATCACCTGACATGGGTTAGCCTGCATGTTACGTTGCTCTTGAGTTATTCGTGTGCCACCAATTACAACCTGAACACCTAGCGAGCGATGATACTTGAGAAGCTTTTTGGCCTCAACAGCGACTTGGTTTGCAAGCTCTCTAGTAGGGCACATCACAAGCAAATTTATAGACGACCGCAACTGACTCCGTTGAGAACTGGGTAATTTAGAGAGAACCTCAATGGCTGGCAGCTAGAAATGCAAAAAGGAAACTCAGTTGGACTGGATAATGATTTAGAATATCACTGCAATAGTTCAGTAAATGCTAACACCATCAATCTGACTATTGGGGCTGAATAAAAAGGAGTACCAAAAAGGCAACGGTTTTTCCTGTTCCTGTCTTCGCTTTTGCAAGAACATCTTTGCCTGTAGTGGAGCAATACATTGGAATATCAGTTACAGGGCTCCCACCCAAGAGATTTGTATCAGAGTGAAGCAACAATATATGCAGTTTTGTTGACCTTGAAGGATTACTGGCAGAGTTGCCTCCTGCACCTGGGTCATCCTTCCATATCCAGCATCTTTGACGCCTTTCAGTGATAATTCAGAAATAGCACACTGATCAAACCTGCAATATGCAGGAGATTACTAAACCGAAAAATCCAAATGCATAAAGCTATTGACAGTTCTCGATTTTCAGGCAAACACAGTCTAGTTAGCAACTGGCGTCACGAAATAGAACCATTAGTTGCTTAGTCGCCAATTCCAGATGGCATCTGTACTCCCTAGCGTCGAATTACATAAAACCGAGTGACACAAAATTTTTGGTTGTTGTTCTATGTTTTTCTATGCCATACTTATTTTACAGCTGCAGTAAGAAATTAGTTAGATAAAAAATTATATAGCCAATGACTATACTCTCATCAACTTATATGTTCTGGAACACAGCATGCCCATTTGCAGCTTGGTTCAGAGAAAAGGCAAGGCAAGAACCCAAGTATCTAAGAGCGGCCCAACCAAATGATACTAATATAATTCACCGTAATGTCAAACACGGCAGTACTTCAAAGAGGCGGCAACCGTCGATTATAATGCTACGGATTTGCATTCACACAAACAGATGACGCTATTAGAAGTTTATAACTCTGTAAGAATCAATTAATAAGTGTAGCAGAACAGTATTATAACGTATGTTCTAAATTTCTTCCTACCACACTGTTTTAAGATTTAAGCTCTACTAGAAGAATCGCCCACATTTCTTATATTTCAAACAGTAAAATGAGGCAACATTAACTGACCTCAAAGTCTCAAACTCTCCATTTCTACCACACAGGACGCTATTAGAAGTTTAGAACTCTGTAAGAATCAATTAACTGTAGCAGAACAGTATTATAACATACATTCTATATTTATTCCTACCACACTGTTTGATATTTAAGCTCTATACTCGTAGAATCACCCAACATTTCTTGTTTCAAACAATAAAATCAGGCGACATTAACTCAAACTCTCCATTTCTACAATTCTGAAAAGATTTGAGAGTGAGCGTTTGTAGCTTTCGGCTTTCTCTATTACCGTGTCTCGCTGAGGTAGGAGCCATCCACGCCACCAATCTTCTCCGCATCCAATTGCGGAGCCCCCCCTTGTCCTTCCTCCTCGTCGGCACCCCTTATCCTGCTCGTGACAACCCTGGGAAACGCAAGTACGCCCTCCGAGACCCTCCGCTGTCTCTTCGGGTCGGCCGCGCCGCGGGCGCTTCCTGACCTGAGCTGACTGACGACGTCGCCGATGTCGACCTTGGCGGCGGCGAGGGAAGAAGGGGCGCGACGGCCGCTGGCTGTAAAACGGAGGCGGAGGCTGCAAGGGGAAGCCCTGGCGAGGACGGGGAGGCCGCCGTGGGTGCGGAGGAGAATATCACCGCCGGCCATCTCCGGCGAGTGCCCGGGGCGTAGGGTTTTGGGTTCTGTGTGAGTTTGCGGCTTGGCGCGCGGGGACAAGAAGATAAGATATTTCGCCGGGTTCGTGGGACGCGGCTTCCCTTCCCTTTATAACGGCTGGATTTATTTTAGTCCCGCAAATTACAGAGAACCACATTTGTAATACATCAATATTTGCACTGAGTCAGTGATGGTTCTTTTTTTGCGGGGGGAGTCAGTGGTAGTTCAAAGACGCGTGTCTTCTGACTTCACGACACTAAACAGGGACAGGATATCAAAAGCAACTTTCCAAAATGTGGTGCAATTTTGCTCTAATTAATTTGGAAAAACTCCGATTTATTATTACAGACAAACCGGTAAGAACTAAAAGCAGCACATGTCTGCAACTCAGCCATGATAGGTCGATGTGACCGTGATAGATCTTGCCAAAACATGCCGCTGACAAGAAGCATTTATCGGTCCGAGGGTAAAACAGCTGGTCACCTTGCTTTTGTTTCAGTTTCTGGTGATTGAATGAAAGAAAAAAGTGGCTCGGTCAGGAATTTGATTCCAATATCAAAGGTAATCCCAATAGTGGGACATCAAAGATCGGATGGCCGAGTTGGTCTAAGGTCCGAAAGGGCGTGGGTTCAAATCCCACTCCTGTCAATCTCTTTCTTTTTTATCTCCTTCAGTTTCTACTGTTCTGGAAATGATTTCTTTTTTTTTATCTCCTTCAGTTTCTACTGTTCTGGAAAGGATTTCTTTTTTTTATCTCCTTCAGTTTCTACTGTTCTGGAAAGGATTTCTTTTTTTTATCTCCTTCAGTTTCTATTGTTCTGGAAAGGATTTCTTTTTTTTATCTCCTTCAGTTTCTACTGTTCTGGAAAGGATTTCTTTTTTTTATCTCCTTCAGTTTCTACTGTTCTGGAAAGGATTTTTTTTT